GAGAGAGAGAGAGAGAGAGAGAGAGAGAGAGAGAGAGAGAGAGAGAGTGTGACTCATACATTATGTCAGGTCTGAAATGGTGCAGTATGGCACAGAAGGCCAGCCCATTCCTCCAGGAGGTGGTGAAGTTGGTGATCTTCACCCCACGGTAGTTCTCGGTGATCTCTCGACACCAGACCAACAAGGACTGGCTGGCGTTGGGTTTCCCTCCTAGAATCGGACTCGGGGCGGGGCTGGGCTGCAGGCAAATTAAAAAATTTCAATTTAGACAAATTTAAAAAGGAAAATTATTAAAACACAGCACAACAAATTTTAAAAAATCAAATTCAAAAGTACCAGTTCAACAGTCATACATATTACAAAGTGTACTTGATTGACACCAGCTTCTTCAAATATTTATTTCTCTGTAAATGTTTTACTTAGCAACCACCATCCATTCAATCAGCAAATAATGAGCCTTAACATACAAGAATGCACATGCACACACACACGTGCACACACGCACGTTCGTGTAAATGTATTTTTTGGGGACTTTGCATTGACTTCCATTCATTTTTTATAGCCTAACCCTGACCCATCCGCAATTCACACCTTAGTTCTAAACCTAACCTCTAACCCCCCAACAAGACTGCTCTTTATGGGGACCTAGCTTTGGTCTCCAGAAAGTGCAGTTAGTTCCCACAATGCATGATTTTTAAAAAATTGGTCTCTACAAGGTAACCTGAAACAAAAACGTGCGCACGCACACACACACACACACACACACACACACACACACAATTGAGTGGAGAACACAAAATGAAGAGTATGACCGTGAATAATGTAAACATCTAATTAATTAGCTCCGCCTTTGAAGTCTTATCAGGGTTGAGATTATTCACCATCAGGAGCCTTTTTTCCCTACCAGACTCCAAAATCTCACAAATCCTCAGTGGTGTGGAGCCACCTGTCTTCTTTTGACAGCCGGCAGAACCAATGCTATTTTTCTTATTCGGCTGGATATTCACTCATCTAGTTAGGGGGGCTTATACAGGCTAATACTCTCAGATCATTTTGAAGGAAAAAAGACAAAAATGTAAAAGAGATTTGATTAAATTCATTTGAGGTCAGTGATCTCAAACTCTTACTGACAGTTATGTTTACAAGACATGGCTTAATATGTTGAAGAGAGATGTTAACATAACTGATAAATTGTACATAAAACTTTAGTAGACCTATTTCAAAATCAAGATGTCTTTCCTCTCCACTGTAGTTTGACTGTATATTATTTTGTTCATCAGTAATTTACAAACTTTCAATTTTACAGGAGACATTGTGGGGCACAGTTGCTTAATTGAACTATAGCATGTTAAGAAAAGACAAATAACAGACAACTAGAATGAGTTAACACAGTTTAAAGCCACACAAAAGAGGCCTCGTGCTCCCTACAATTTGCCTGATTCTTTATGAAACTTCTTGTGACCAACACCCTCTGCTGGCAACTTTATGCTACTGCTTGAGGTGAGGTAAGTTTCAAAACATATTTGTCCTTTACATTCTAACAATTTGAGAAGATGCAGATAAGCTGCAGAAAGAAAAAAATACATTTATATTTGTTTGAATTTATATGGGTTTGTAAGCATTTATATACCCCAAATATTGCAGCTGAAAGATTTTAAGACAAATCCTTGATTTAGTGTGAGTATACAGAATTAATTGAGCGGTACACAAACAATTTTAACCAGCCAGCTGAAGTGTACAAGCTCCTTAATTTCTCCTGCTCATCTATTATTACAGTTTAACCTTTGACCACAAGCCTGAAGCCAGGTGAGATGCCACAAGAGCCAAAACAAAAGAAAGAGACTGGAGGACGTCTCTAATAGCAATCCCTAACCTTTGTACCAGAGTGTGTGTGCAAGTCATTCCGTTCCCTATGGCTGTTTTGGTACAGGGAGACAGAAGCGAGAGCCTTAGGGGCAGACACTTGACATTTCTGGCTCATCTTTAAAGGAGGGCCTTAACCTTTCCTCACAGCTTCTTCAGACACGTTTTAGGGGGCTTCGACAAAACATTTGTGCCACTCAAACAAACGGAGGAACAAATAATGTGAACAGATAAAAAGTGATCAAACCAAAAACGATTAAACAAAGACCCAATTTTTTTATGTGTACTGTATGCAAAAAGAAGTCCTTGTGGAATGGCTTTTTAAAAACAAAAAACTTTACAAATGGATCAAATTAAGGTATTTATCAGCAATGAACTGAATGTAATTATTGCTTCCATCCTAAAAGGCCTCACTTAAACACAAGTTCCTCTTGGCAAACTGAACTACCTAAATCCGCTTTGCCATTTGTATTCTGCTTTTTCCACTGTTTCTATGTGTTCTGTGTGTCAGTAAAATAGGACTCTGGGTTTCAGTGTGGAGTGGTCTTCCTTCAGGCCTTTCATCCTCCTGCTTTTTCAAGTGACGGTTGAAAGTAGCTGTCTAATTTGAGCGTTCTAATTACCTGAGATTAGAGATCAGGTGCTATTAAAGCAATTAGACATACAGCACACTCCAATTCGGCAAACCCTGTACCCTAGCCGGCAGGAAAAACACACATTCACACACACGCACACACGCACACATACTTGGAAATACACTTGAAGAACACCACTAATGAAAAAAAACAAAACATAATGTAGGTTCTCATGCCCATGCTAATATCCACATAAAAATATAAAATAAATATGCACATACAAATGTAAATATAAATTATAATTTGGTAAATCATTTTGCATAAATACAAATAAATATTTATTTTGTGCCTGACACATCCAAAGAAACTGTACTTTGGCTACAGTGGCACATGAGGAGCAGTTCATCACAAACCCAAACTGATGTAATTTTCTCATTCTGACTGTTCCATTACTCCTCTTCCTGATAAAGGTTTACAAATGCATCCATTCAGTCAAGCTTTCATATACATCAAATACTGAACAAATACCATATCATCTTTAACAGGAACAGGCTGCATTTCCCTAAGACACAAACACGAAAGGAGTGAAATTTTCACGAGGAGCAGAAATGCGCCCTGATTTATCAGTTTACAGTTTTGCCTAAAGGAAGGTGTACATGTGTGTATGTATTGTGTGTTTGTCTTTTATCAGCCTGTGTGAATGTCACTGTGTGCATGTGTGTGTAACACTGATGCAGCCATGTGACTAGCTCGACTCAAGGGTAGGATTAGTAGGGAGCATTGCCTCGGCCCACAAACATTTCATATTAAAAAATGAAAAGGCAACCTTCATTACTATCAGTGCCACATAACCTCCCCTCTTCTGCCTCCTCTGCTACTATTATACACAGCCTTAACATCCAGGGCAGAAAATACAAGCCACTGACAAGAGATTCCATTATTTCTGATGCCTCTGTGTCAACAACATAGATCTAACAGGGCAAAGAAAGGAGAAGAAATTGAAGAAGGGGAGGTTTGAGAAAAAAGGTGAAGAAGTGTGGGCGTGTGTGTATGTATGTGTGTGTCTGTGTAGAAAGGTTAAGCTCAATAGTGTCTGAATGAGAAGATAGGAGGAAACCAGATGATGGAAGCATCCATGTTCTTGCTGGTGTTAGGTATGGATTTTAGAGGTCAGAAAAACATGATTTTTTTTCTTAGGAGTTGTAACATGATTTAAAATCTAAAATTCTCAGGGAATAGGTGAAACATTATATTGTAAATTAGAAAACTGTAACAGGTTGATGCTGACAACATGTTTTTGTAGTAGATCTGAGCATCATCCCCGTTTTTTTAAACATTAAGGGTACAAACATTCAGTAGTTATTATTTATAAATCAGTAGTTTCTCTATACTGTTGGTGAAGTGCTCTTATTTGTGAGCTCCCTCAAGGCTTCATTTTAAGTACCACTCACTTTTTCCATTACATGACTTTCAAACAATAGCTCATGCTTCTATAGGCATATTCACAAGACGCTTCAGTCCGGGACTGAGATGTGTTCTGTTCTCCTCAGTCCATTCAGAAGACTACATTGAGGTGGTGAGGGGGATTTGAGATAGACAACCTTTGATACTCCTCTGCACCTCCAACCAAGGTATGAACAAGAATAGGCCCGTTTCACATGACGTCAGACTACTTCCATTCTGACTCGATGCAGTGGACGAGTACTTCCAGTCTATTATCCCTCGTGAGACCTGTCCGAAACATCACAGAATTTCATTCATTCAACCGTTATTTATAGAGGTTAAATTACAAGAAATAGCACAAGGTCTTCTTCTTCTTTCTCAAGCCAGTGTTATCCAGACCCAACCTTGAAACATTAGTCCATGCCTTCATCACAACCCGCCTGGACTATTGTAACTCACTTTATGCTGGGGTCAGTCAGGCGTCCATTTCACGTCTCCAGCTCGTCCAAAATGCAGCTGCTCGACTTTTAACTGGTACACGTAGGTCTGAGCACATCACACCTGTTCTGTCCTCCCTTCACTGGCTTCCTGTGCGATCCAGAATCGACTTCAAGATTCTCCTCCTGACATATAAGTGCCTAAATGGCCTCGCACCCCTCTACCTCTCCGAGCTCCTGGAACCATATGTTCCGTCTCGGGCCCTGAGATCATCGGACCAGCTTCTTTTGGTCGTTCCAAAATCACGCCTGAAGCTCCGAGGGGATCGAGCTTTTTCAGTCAGAGGTCCCAACCTGTGGAACAACCTGCCCCTCAACATCAGGCAGGCCTCCTCCCTCCTGATGTTCAAATCCCTCCTTAAAACGCACCTGTTTGCTCTGGCGTTTAATACTGTGTGAGTTAGTTTATTTTGTTCTGTGTTACCGCATTTTAAATTCTGTTGTTTTATGATTGACGTTTATTTTTACTGCTTGTTTTTCCTTAGTGTGATCATTAGTGTGTGTTATTGCTCCAGTAATTTTAATTCTGTATGATGTTTTTGTTTTGCTGCCTATGTTTTGCTACATTTCTGTTAAGCACTTTGATAACAGTTTATCTGTTTTAAATTGTGCTCTACAAATAAAGATGACTTGACTTGACTTGACTTCTTCTTCTTTCGGCTTTTCCCTCTTCAGGGGTCGCCACAACAAGTCATCCTCCTCCACCTCACTCTGTCCTCTGCATCCTCTGTCCTCACTCCAACTACCTTCATATCCTCTCTAACTGCAACCATGTATCTCCTCTTTGGCCTTCCTCTTTGTCTTTTTCCTGGCAGCTGCATTTCTAACATCCTTCTACCAATATACCCACGGTCCCTTCT